TGTATAACCATCCGGCGGTCTCGCGGGGAAATTATACTCTGTGCCCGCGGCGGCAAGAGCGGTTTTCTCGGCGGAATTCATAATGCAACACTGCTGCTGCTGCTCACTTGCTCGTTCGTCATTGTAGTCATAATAATAATAATAATAATAATAATGATAGTAATAATAATAATTGTTATAATTGAGTACAGAATATAATATACCATGTGGCAGTGGCGGCGGCTGCGTGACGCGATGACGTGGACCACTATACCATTACCGCGTGAGGCGCGCGCACGCACTAACGGACCGTGGCGCTCTAATGTGAAACGAAATGTTCGCATCGGTGAATAGTATTAATAATAATAACAATAATAGTACAATGTACGGCTGCATTGTGTGTGATAACACGTGATTACTGTTGGGAAGATAACCGGCGAACGACGAGATACCGAACCGGAATAATTCGCACGATTTTCCGAAAAGTGGTGGTTTTTCTCGAAACATAATGTGAATATTTGTCTTTTCGTACCGCGATGACGAAACTATAGGTATATAATAACTGCAACGGTTAAATTACTGTTAAGTAAAATCCTTTAGATACATAGCACACATTAAATTACATAAAACTGTCATTAGGCTTTGCAAGTTATAGTCGACCGTAAATAAAAAGCCGTTCGTACTTATTGCCGACCTGAATGACGACACGTCTATATCATAACCGTTTGAATAATTAACTTACACTGAAGATGCCATTGCGACGCAATGAAACTTTGATTATTTTTTCAACGAGAATTAAAAACATACTAATTACTTATAGGTAATTACGATTAAGAATCATATTAACTGATATTTAAATGTGTGTACAACATTATAGTAATGTCTACAGTACAATATAACATTTTGGTCCTCATTATCGCCAGAAAATTTGAATGTATACCAGCATATTAATGTGCTATAATAATTGTTATATTATACTACATATTATTTGATATTTGTGTATAATCAATAGTTGAATAACATAGTCGGTATAGATACTAGCATTTATTAGTATAACTTTTCATCAACGACCAGCCGGAAGTTATCGCAAGTTTCCCTAAAATAAATTTACGTTTAATATTGCCAGGTTAAACGAGTAAACAGCCGACTTGCAAGTATCGAGTAGTTTGTCTTGTCGATCAACCTAGTTTAAAGTAGGTGTGCATATTATGTGATGCGTACATTTTATACTTAATAATATTCAACGCGGTTCCAATTTGAAGATTGTGTTATGTCTGTACAATTATATTCACAATCGTTTCGGTCACTTCATTCGTACTAATTAACCTCATTTCAAATTAACTATACAATTCATTCTGGCAACTATAGTATGATCATAGGAAAAAGTATAAAACTATAGAAACCAATTTATTTTATTCTGATTTAACACTCGTAGTACGTTTTAGAGGACAAAATTAATAACACAAGCTCAATTTTTTTAATTAATAAAGAGACTTCTGACGAATATGAAAATTTGAACAAAACTTTTATTTTTCCACAACATTAAAAAATAGAAACTACTTTGATGTTATTATTTTTAAATCGTTTGTCTATAAAAATACGATTTTTAAACGTCACGACGGGGGTTGACGGTTGAATATGTAACCCATTTGTTGGCCACTAGCAGGGAACTTGACATTTTGACCGAAATGTCTTTTTGGATACAGATGGACCTCCCCGTGGCCTTTGCGCCCTAATGAATTACTATCAGAGTGAACGAAAACTTCATAGGGCATAGTGTTTGAAAAGGTCAAGTGCTCCTAAACTCTTCACTAATGTTTATAAAGCAATGAAAATTGTTATCTCTTTGGCATTCGTAATTTTTTATAACGGTTTAAACATCAAAGTAATTTTATTGATAATTTGTATAACTAAAATTAATTACTTAAGCTTTAGTTTTATAATTTTAATGATAACTTGAAATGTAATTTTCGTATCAATAACAAAATAATGATTGATTTTCAATTTATATTTATTCATAGTAAAATAAAACATAAAGTGTTATATTTAGCCAATGAACAATAAATTGATAATATGAAATTATTAAACTAATAGCGATGGGTATTTATTTTTTATTTCACAAATCCTGTGAATAGGTCATTTGAAACAGATTTTAATTGTGAACTATTTTCCTGATATGGGTGAGCAGTTTTATATAATCAGTTAAAAATTAGCTTAACACTCGTAAAGGAACATAATACATATTAAAACAAAATATAATATTATTTACTCTTGAATTTGGATCACATCCACTGAACAGACTTTGTATTTCTTGGTTTTTCGCCAAGAAACCTGAGGACTCCCTATAAATGAACTTGATTCTATGTGTGCATCGTATAGACATCTAAATAATTTTAGTCGATTCCTCTTTTTCCTTAGTTTTTTCTTTTTTTTTTTTTTTTATTTGATTAACGATGGGGAGCGAGAACTTTCATTTTGCCGATCACGTAAGGAGTTAAACTTTTTTTTTTTTATATCCGAATCGTCTTCAAGCTCAATGAAAAAAGGCTCTAATCTCTAAGGATACGTAGATAAGTATGTAAAAATACTTGTCCCTGAATCGGTTTTTTTCCAGGTACAATTAAAAAAAATAAATAAATCTATGAATAAGTAGATATCGGTGTTTTATTTTTTATTTTGCTAATCAAATAATATGAAAATATTTATGTTAATGATAAAATTAACCAACCCAAGAAAATTAAGTGTCAAAAAATTATCAAAAACAAAACAAAAATCCTTAAACTTGAAAATTTGATTATTTGGGTGAGAAAAAAAAAGAATTACTATTATAATATATTTGATTTAAATAATAATTAAAATGCAAAACAGTGATGAAAAAAAAAAAAAAATCATTTTAAATTACTTTTTTGTCATCTTAGTCTGCCCTTTGAAATAACGATAAACGGATTTAAAAGAATTTGACAAATTATGCTCAAAGATAAAAGTTAGACGTGGACTATATAAAGACAAATTTTATTATTATCATTATTTAGTATGATTATTATAATTATTTATTTAGAATAATAAAAGTTGTCACTACTCAAAAAACATGGCATGACGAACTTTAATGTAATTTTAGATTTAAAAATATAACTTCTCAGTAGTCTTTACTATAGTGACATTAATTATTGTCTGGCTTTTTACGCATTTTTAACTAAAATTAAACATTTTTAAAGTTTTTCTTTCTGAAAAAAATTGTTAGAAGGTTAATTTATGTAAAACACTTTTAATGTTAATTTTAAAGACAAAATTACACAATTTTACTAAATAACTGATATAATAAAACAAGGAACAAAAAAAATATTATTGGTTTATTTTAAAATAAACTTCAGATATTTAAATTTTTAAAAAAAATAATAATAAAAATAATTTACATACAAGCAAACATATTATATTCATATTTTGTTGATATATTAAGTTTTACTTTGTATACATATTTTTAAATATTTTATTTCTATATTTATTTTACCAGAACTGTTTAGTCGTTTTTAAAATTTGTAGAAAGTGAATTTAAATGATTTTTATTCGTTACAAAAATATAAATAAAACTATTATTATTCATAATCTAGATTATTTATAGTTAATTTTAATGCATTTTTTAAGAAATATTTTAAGCTTTAAAAACAAATAGAGTGTAATTAATATTAAGGTTTACGAATAGTATATAAGAAATACATTACATTCGCACATAAAGTTTTTACTTTCAACTTTTGGTCAATAAAGCTTTGTTTATATGTATTTTTTAATAGAGCAAACCATTAATAATATATTTTAATGAATAATAACGCATATAACGTAGTGAATTATTATTTTTTGTTCGGACTTCGGCAGTGAACTTGTGCAATAAGGTAAAAATTCAACTAAGAATTCATTGTTAATGTAAGCCATAGATATGATATTATTTAATGATAAATGTATAATTGTTTGTGTGTGTGTATATGTCATGATAAATGTTGAAAATTGGTGTAGGAGAAGCATATGGTCGTAAATAGGTGGCGCGCTTAAACCTTTGTGAACGGTGGCAAGTAAAGAATCGCGCATAGGGTCACTTTAGCAAGTACAACTTTTCGGATGCCATGCGTGTGGTTGGAAGGGTATGTATGGTGATGGGAGGGTGTCGGCGATAAAATAAATTACAGACGTCCATAAACAAAAGGCGTTCTCCCCGTCATTGTTAAGGGCCTCTTATTTGTCATTTTATGGGTATTGCACGTCATAAAAGTAAAAAAAAAAAAAATAACAAAAAAATATCAGAATGGAAAAAGAGACCTTTGTGTAGATAAAGTATAGGGGGAGGGGTAAAAAATATATATACAATATATACAAAACACATCTCCTGTGATGATATAAGGTGGTGATGGCCTAGCTGGTTGATAGCGCTGTTGAGGTTGTGATAGGGTTGCAGTGAAGGGGTTGGTTAGAGGAATTTTACCGTTGCCAAAACCACGAACGCGTTGTATATATACTTATATTTCACTCCCCGAGTGTATTGGTGCAGGGTAAACCGACGGATTTCATCCGTGCCAGAGGATAAAATGTTTTTTAACCACGTACACTCAGACATATATACATACACACACACACAATCGCAAATACAAGTCGATTAACGACGCGTACTCAATGCGCAAAATTTGGAAATGGTGCCAAACACTTTTTACACGAATGGACCCGACGACCACGAACAGCCAAAATTTGGAAAACAAAGTCAAAATACTATAAAGTGGTAACCACACTTTTACGTAGAAACTTTTAAAATATGTCATTTATAACACTAATGGAAACGTTTGTGGTTCGATATTCGCTGCAGCCCAATAGTTACCACGGTTGACCAGAAATCGGTGACGTAGCTAATAATGTGTGATACTTAGAAAACCCACGTGAAATTATGACGACTTTTGACATAGCCTTTTGATCCATACAAAATCATAACTGCATAATATATGACACCTATATAATATTATATCATATCCTAAGTGACTAACCGGAAGAATGGAGCGGCGTGGTAGCCAGAAGCAGGTCGATGGTGCCGTCAGTGAGCACCTCTGCCGAGTCCTGGTAGCTAATGGACAGCGTGGCCGTATCCGTTTGCCGGGACATTTTTGACAGCATGGACGCTGGCAGCTCGATGGTCTCGTCTGTCTCACGAAGCTGCAACGTGACTGTCTGTCCGTCCGGGCCTGCGGTGCTGTACATGAACACGGCCGTCTGCTGGGGCATGGCCGACGCATAGCTGCTTTTCAACGGCACACGGATCCCAGGCAACCCCTGTTGGTAAAAAATACATAAGACGATGAGACGGTGTTGACGGCCGACAACGGTTTTAGGTTACGATTAATGCGATGTCGTTTCGATTGCTAAAGTAATTATTTTATTTTATTTTGTTATTGTACGAGAGTAGAAAATACGAGAAAATATTAATTTTTTTAATGCATAATCGTAAACAATACGATTTAGATGATTGTAGCATAACAATGATTAGAAACACGACGGCTTTACCACGATATTGGTGTATTTTGCATATTTTGCATCGACAAAAAAAATATATATGATTTGCTATGCATATTTTCGTACAATTACGTCGGTTATACATTTATATTTATTGAGGATTGCAATCATTTTACCGAAAAATACATCGACCCAATATACATTTTCTAAAATTTAACGTGTGTCTAAACTGGTTCTATAAACTATCTGATATAATACGTGTTTCGAGATAATATAATATTGTTTTCGGAAATTCAACCGTTTGTCATTAATATCTGGACATGATTACGAAGAATTACCTTCGACTTATGTATATATTATTATGCATACGAGTAGAATATATAATAATATAGGATAAATTGCGGTCAGTCAATGATGAGGTTTATACCATTGCAGGACACATTGTTAGTAGGAAATTTGTTGTTATATCGGTATAGCGCGTAGTCAAGTACTAAATAATTATATGAATGGGGATATTATAATTATTTTTGTTACTATTAAAACTTATGTACGAGTGGTAATAATAATTATAACCAGAAGTGCCGCGTTCGAATAATTGGAGTTGATCTGATGTTGTGTGCAGGTTACATGTACCTAATGGGTAGGTTTTAGTTTTGCCTTCAAACCCGACTCGATCAGTGAATTAAAGTCGAACTAATTGGTTTCCTTTCAATAGGAGCGGCGGCAGTGCTCACTATACGCTCGTCATCGGTCCACGCCCGGATAATCGAATTCAGCGTGCCAACTCTATCCAATACGCGCCACTACGGCGATAGATAAGAAGCTCAACGGTTACGTGCTTAATTTGGGTTTGGAAACTTAATAGTTTCCCCCGGCGAAGTTTTCTCTCGGAAATTACAAGGATTTAATGCCAGCCGAGGGAACGGACGCAGGTGAGCGATGATTTATACCGTAACCATGGTAACCACACAACGGTCGGACCGTCTTCCACTGCAACATATACTCAGACACACACGCTCATACACCAGTACTACTGCTACCACCGCCACCATCACCATCATATACACCAACACCACCATCATGACGATCGCTGCACAACCAAGATCCAATATTTCATGAATCAGTACAAGGGGTATGCGATACATTGATACGTTTTAGCAAAATTCACATAGGTCGTGGCCACACATGTTTTTTTCCTGCCACTATGTCAGTTTCACAATTATTAAGGGTTGTATTGGTTAAAAAATAAAAATAAAAAGCTAAAGGTTATGTGGAAACCTATGTTTATGACGGGCAGCCAATGGGAAATTCTGACGATATATTTTTCACCGGGATCGTTCGATGAAAAAAAAAAAAAAAATAAAAATAAAATTCTAGTCCTTTCAAGACGGTGTCATTTTTTGCTATTGTGGTTCCGTCTAAGTATACTATGTTTCCATGACCGTACCCGCTCCACTACGGCTGTTAACCGTAACACTCGTGATCAGGTAACAGTCCGCGATGGACATTCTAATGTTTTGATTCCGTTTCATTTAGGTCGATGTTTATTATTACATATTTTATTTAGAACACTCATAACTTATTATAAGCTACAATGTATTTCCTGGCATTATCCTTTAACAAGTGTCTATTTTATAACGTGACATCTAGTATTATTATAATATATAAATTTTATACCTATACAGCCGGAAATAAAGTGAATTATTTTATCACAAATTTGTGAAATGTATTGTGTACTTACTAAGCATACGATAAAGTTCAACAGATAAGACTCACAAATACACGAAAATCCTTGCTCTGGTTATCATATAAGAATTCAAATACACTACAAAGCATCCGGTCAAAGTTGATTAGCAGTGGCAATAATAATAATAAAAACAATGTATAAATGTTAGATAATAATGTTTTGACCATTATAAAATCATGTAGTTCGATATCGCTGATTTTCAAGGAATGAAATAATTAAAAACTGTTGTATTATTATTGCTTGAATTGTCTTTCCGACAATAAAATTGTGACAATAATCTATTTGAAGTAAATAGCATTATTTTATCACAAAGACTCAGACAGGATAATATCACAATGAGAGAAGAACACTGCAAATGACTGTTTTAGTGCTTTAACGGTTCAAACGAAAATTATAATATCTATTCCGGAAGCACACGTTGAAAGCATATTTTATAATAATATAATCGATTTCAGGAAAATTTAATGAGAAAATAGTTGTTCAGGGTGGTATGAAAAAAAAAATTATTTGTATGAACGTAATATATATATATAAACAACTGTGTTTATTTATGTTTTATTAGACCACTCTATATCGTTGTGTAGGGTAATGGGTCAAGTTTTTCAGAGTCGAGAGCGTTCTATAATAATGACGAGTACCGTAAAGGTCATCCGTCATAACTGTCACGTGATGCATATATATATTATAATAATGCCAAGTGTTATAAAACACAAAATATACATTTTCTAAGAGAAATATAAGCTCTGCTGGGTTCTTTTACAATGGTTCACGAAATATACGCCAGCCAACCCAAGTGTTATTTTTTGAATATGTTTATTTATAACTCGTCATTCTTCAAATTTATACTTTACATGCACCACACGTTTGTTTTATTATAGTTACGACCGGTAGCCACACGGCTCTTATTGTTCTTTATATTAATTAGTATATGAAATGTAATATTATATAAATTACCACACAGTTCTTTCATCAAGAAAAAGTATAGGATCGTGGATTAAAAATAAACTTAAATCGTATATCTACCGTCAATGTCTTCGAAAACGAATATAATATATTTGCAGATCTATTGCAATTTAGAAATACTAGAAGAGTTAATATTGCTAACCTCTGGATTATTGTTACTCGATCATAATATGACTACGTGCAAGTGCCACTCAGCCAGAATATGATTTCCACGGAATTTAACAATATTATTATTGTCCACGTATCTTGTAGGTAATTCATTTCAAACAACTTTATTCTTGAGTTATTTGTCAAAAAAATAAAATAAAGTCAGAAAAAAATAATAGTAAAATAACTTATATTTAGCTGTATACTGTACTCACAGTATAGGTACGCATAATTGTGAAATTAGGTGAATTCGGTAGATAGTAGAGCTGTAGGAATGATACGTATAATTATTAAAGTAGTGTAAATATAATTATAAATAATTATTTGGAAATTTAATCTCAAAAAAAATCATTGGCACTGTTAAAAACGGATATGTAGACAATTACTTAAGTTGTTACTATCGAAAGGGGGGAAGGTAGTATTTAAGGTAAAATAATTAAATATGGATAGTTTTGTATGAATAAGAAAATCAACATACAATATCAATTATTTTATTAAATATGTAAATGAGTTGAATATTATTATGTTTAAGATAATTAAAAATATTTATAAAACTTACTTTAAAATGTTTTGTAGGTAAAGCGTGTTAATGGTTAATGCAATGTTCAATTTAGTTATTAAATTATAATATCTAACATTTATTTTTTTTTAAATATTTTGCAAAAAAAAGAATCCTAGTAAGCATTTATATTAAAAAAAAATAACGTATATTAATTAATAATATATATGCTAATAGTTATTTTTTTATCATTATATTTAAGTTTGAGTTTATGAGGCAATTTATATTCACATTCATTGATAACTATGACGGACGCAATGAGTACTGTTATTTTATAATTGTGTTTAATTTATTTTTAAAGTAGAAAAAATATATTTTACTTTATGACCATCAACAATTTTTTCTAAACTTGTATATTATCTGTTCTTAATTATTCATAAATGTATCAAGATAAGCAATAACAATTGTATTTATATCTGAAATTAAATATTATGAGCACCTCATAAGTCTGCTTTTTCTTAAAGATTTTAATTATAGTCATAGTGATATAACGTAAACTAAAAAGTTGGGGATACAGTTAGAGTAAATGATGTTATTTTCTTACTAATACCTGTGAAGTTCTTAAAAATGGCCGTTTTAACTTTTATAATTATATACAACCTAAATTCTACATTAAATTTAAAGAGGAACTATAATCATCATTTTATTTTGACAATTTCTTCATCGCTATAATCCATACATTTTAAGGCTAAAATTATATTTACATAATAAGTTAAATTATGATGGCAATTTGGTCATAGCAAAATTGGAATGGTGAATTTGAAAAAAAGTTAAACTTATGCAGTTTATTCTTATTACCTATACACTTGGAATATTTTTTAAATAGTCACAGTATTATGACATACCATTATACATACATATTTTAGGAGCGAGTAGATTTAAGTAGTTTCAAATCATTCATAGATCAGCTGTCTTTATTATTCTTTCATGATGATCCTTAATACTTATTAATATACAACCAATAATGTATCTGAAGATTAAGGCTATAAAATATGTAGCATCAAGATGCAAATTCTCTGCAAGAATTGATCTCACTAATAGATATCTGAATAATTTAACTTAACTGATGAGCGGAGAAAAAAAAGGAAGACAATTACATTGTAAGAGGTCATAAAATATGCAACTGAAATCTTCGAAATCTCTATTACGCGACCAAAAGTGTTCCGGAGAAAAAAATAAGGTTTAATGAAATTGTATTTTTTTCTGACGACTTATTGTGTACTCTCATAATGGGATTTGAACGTTTTCGCTTTTTCAATTGCCTTTAATACTCGTTAAGATACTATACTAATGGAATTTTTGATGTGCTTAAGTGGAAAACAAAGGCTTAACCATGGTGCTGCTACTGGATAACCGGAGAGGGTCAGTCGTTTAATATCGAAAACTTCCAAAGGTTACTCTTAG